ATTGAAAGTAGTCAATAAATCATAAATCAAGAAAACGACGTTGTATTTATTTCTTATCTTTCACACCTGTAATAGAGATCTCGTTCAAATGCTGCGTTAAATTAAATACTACAAGTTAATGAAATATGGGCTTTCTGATCATATGTACATTTTAACTGTTTCTGCATTTCAAGAGTAAAAAAATTAAATACCCTGTACCCATGCATTTGGATCGAAGAGTAAATGAATGAACTATTACCACTGTAGATAAAATCATAAAAAAATATGAATGAAAAATTCTTACAAGAAACTGCAATGGACACCTGGAATATTGCAAAAAAAATTTAAAAACCTGTACAGTATTTCAAGACCAGCCTGCGTTGCCGACGGAAATTTTAACCCTCGGTAGGAAGCGTCTATGACGGAGGCTAGTCAAGACTTATAGGAGATAGTTGTCTATTTTTCCTTTGGGATACCCTGTGAGGAAAGCCTTCATTTAACCTACCTTTTAGGCCAAGGTAATTTCAAAGAAATCAATCCAACATCCTCTGTGGAAAAAAAGATAGCGACTGGTACATTTACCGATGATTCTTCGCGCACAAAAGCCTTCACAACGCTCATCAAACTACAGAAAAGTTCAAACATCAAATCTAGTACACTTAATGGCATTAATTGGCTGTGTTAAGTTTACATGGTATTGTGTAAAAATGTACAGCCTCCATCCTTTTTTCCTACAGATGAATGAATAGCCAACAAGGTACTCCAAATTTGTTTTAATACTTGTACAAAATTAAATTGATCAGTATATTGATGCATATGGTTGATGCACACAGTTTCTTCAGAGCTCAAAACCAGTTTGGCTCACACAGATTCCTGGAAAATGGTGACAACAACTTTTGAAATTTCACAATTCAGCAATGTTCATTCCTTAATCCACAAGGGACTGAATGGGAAACTGGAGTCAGAAGATATTTAGACACCTCTGGCATTTATTTGTTCCTCCACACACAGGATTGAGTTAAGATTATGCAAATTAGGGAAAGAAACAAGGAGTTTGCCCCTCACTGCATGCTAGAAACTCACCGACATGCTAGAAACTTGTCACATGCTAGAAAACGAAAGAGACTGCTTGAAGTCTAATCGATCCCAAAACCTGACACTTTCTCCCAGCAATCAAATTTTGGGAAGAGAAACTGTACATGTGACAAAAGTTGTCCCATGAAATACTGAACTATCTACACCTACAAATTTGTTGCATAGCAGCTGACCAAGTCAACAACTATGTCTGTCATTGTATATTTTAAAAACTGAGAAAAAAAAAAAAAAACTCGAGTCAGACACTTGCGTCTATCACACCTTTGCTAATCACACACATATAATATGTACACTTTTACTATTTTACATATTGCTATAAATGTGATGGCGTCAGGTACCAAGCAAAGTCTATGAGAAGAAATCATCATCATCATCACTTTGTTTCCAGTTGTTGCTGTCTTGTTCTTCGCCTGGAGAGATATACGATCCATTTCCAGGGGTGTACTGAGCTAAACCCATTGACCTGAGGTGAGCATCATGCATCTTCTTTGCATGCCGTGTTCTTGCCGACATTTCTCTGGTTGCAATTTGCGGAGCTGCAAGTTAAACAACTACCATATTAATTTTTCACACCTGTAACAACAGGCTTCTGCTTCCAGGTCAATGTTTCACTTTATTTGGCACTTGCATGGTTACTTACTGGATTTACTTATTATTACAGTAAGTGATAAATTATTGGATTACTAATTCATATTAATAATTATTATTTATGGAATTTAAAATGAGTGATTATTCACCAGATTTGAAACATCTAACTTGTAAGCGGGTTGAAAGAATGATCAATGTCAACAACAGAGTTCTTTCAAATCTATTGATTTAAAATACAACATCCAGCCAAGATGGAACGGTCCTAAATCCTGACTCACACAATTTGTAAAACTCAAGGATACCAATAGCACCCATCCACTCACCCAGGTGTGGAATGTGCGGTGGCCTCATAGTTAGAGCACTCAACTCTGCATCAAGAGGCTTGGGTTCAAGCACTGGCTGGGGACAATGTGTTGTGTTCTTATTCTCACAGTGCCTTTGTCCACCCAGGTACAGTATAAATGGGTACTGGTAACTTTAATGCTGGGTGGTAACCCTGCGACGAACTAGCATCTCATCCAAGGGGGAGTAGACCTACTTCTAGCCCCTTCATGCTACAGGAACCGGAGATAAGCATCAGCCCGAGGGGCCACTTGGCTTGTATGCAGACTTTAATTTACCCAGGCAAGTCTCAATACTTTTGATAAAGCTTTAACAGACACAGCTTGGTCTGTAACCATCAGAGCTTATCTTGGTGTCATATATCATGAAGCAACTCAGTGGAAGTAGTCCCCACCTGCCCCTTCCCATAAATGGGATGTTTAAGTAATTGCATTTGACTCCACAGCATTTTGCTGGGTTTTTAACTGATCACCACAAGCCATTTAATATCCCTGGGTTGGGAGGCACCGTGAAAGTCATGCCCAAGAACCCAACACTATGACTCTACCCATGGTCAGAGCCAGACAGTTCAGTCCCACGCCTGTCGCACTATCCAGAACTGTAGGCCAATACATCTCCGCCTTTTTTGGCAGAGTAAAGATTGTTGCTTTTTCGGTGTAAAGAACCTTTCCCTGATGGCAAATTTTGTCACAATTAACTTTCTATATCCCTTAAAAACTGTATTTTAAAAGGTGCAAGCACAATTATAAGCCTTACAATGAACAACAGATTGCTATTTTAATAATACATTTCTTGCCATTAGTATTGAAAACGTACCCCCAGCCATCCTAAGTTTGCTGTTCAAGAGGTTTTTCCTCTGTACCATATCAAATTCATCTGTGGCTGAATTATCTGAGTTTCTACTAGTGTCTAGAAAGTCTTCAGGTTGACTTGCTGTTGATGAGCCATGAATGCCACCTGGACTGAACTTGGGTTTGTCTGAATATGAAAAATTTCCTCTTGCAATGCTCCATGATTTGCGATCTGAAGAAAAAAAACATTAATAACTTAAAATTATTATCATGATATTGAAGTATCAAAGAAAAAACCCATCAGCTGGTAAATCTCATGGATCATGTGTGCATTTACTATACAGACACAAGTGTTTTACTGGAAAATACACCACTCCCACAATTCATACGAAACTACATCTGAGACCCGAGTAGTGTGCTGTATCCATATCCTCACTAATAAGGATGATGATGCCATAGCCTGCGTAGCAAGCATTCCTGTGCAGAGAGCATTTCCACATTCTGGTCATGCGTAGATTGGAGCAAGAGCAAAAACTCAACGAAGCAGTTCCTCTCTCGCCTCACCACCCCCTGCTTTGTCAAGTTTTTGCTCTCGCTACAATCTATGCCTGGCCAGAATCCAGAGAAGCTCTCTGTATGGGAACGCTTGCTACGCAGGCTAATGGTGTCATTTCTCATTCACTTTTACCACTCAAAAATATAAATACATATCTCCGCATCGTCATGAATGGCCTCTATTAATATGCAAGATTTAAGATTTAATAATTTCTGGTATAGAATACACCCCTGTGTTTATATATGGAATACAATGCACCTGTTCTACAATTGAAGCCCACTATCTCAAGATAGTCAGCTGTATAAGTTACTGTACTACAGCACTGGCCAAGTGTCGACAAGTTATTTGCTAATCTTCAATAGGGCTAACAAAGTCACTTAGAAACACATATGACTTGTGGGTACTGATGAAGATAGGGCCATATGGACTGCAACTGGGAATTGAGGATTTCAATCTGATTTAATCTCAATTTTCTCTAAGCAAGTTGGTAATAAAAATTAATCCTAATAGTTCAGGTGAGGTTTTATTTTTGTTTGTTTGCCAAATTCTGGGTTAAAAAACCCTTAGGCAGAATAGAATCTAGGACAATCATGCTTAAAGGCAAATATTATTTTTTGTTGCAAGTAATATCAGTTTTGATCTGTACCTGAGATCATTATCAGGAAAGAATGAAGAAATAAAGAAATTACATTGTGTTCACCCAGAATGTGTAGTTCCAGAAAATATCCATACCCACCCCCAAGGAAGGTTAACGAAAATTCCAAGGGAGAGGGGTGTTTCAAAAGCCCAATTTTTTAAAGGAAAGTATGGCACTAAAATGGAATTCCCAGAGGGGTGGGAGGGTTCAAACTAAAAAACCTTCCGTTGGAGGGCCCGGGGTATGGATATTTCTGGAACGACACAATGGCCTTAGAACAGTTCCATTGGAGAAACGCTACCCGTGACCACAATTTTACAACACAACAAATTTACTGAAAGTGTTGTTTATTACTTGTTGATAAATATACATGCACACTCTTGAAAGACAAAACACACTCCTACATATTTACAATTTCCAATTTCAAGGCAATTTGTACTTAGAAATAATTTAATTTTCAAGGCAATAAGTGCTTTGGGAAAGGAAATTTTTAACCTTAGTGCTAATTAATATTTGGAAAAATACTATTCGCATATTTTATTTTTTCATATGAACAAGAGTATGTTTGGAAGAATGAGAAATACCATGAGAGCTTTCTAGAACTGTTTTCAGTTCTCCAAAGGCTCTTGAAAATTTCCTTAAAATGCAGAAACTAACAAATAGCCCAACATCATGGCATCATGGCCAAAAAGCNCATTACGTTGTCCGGCATATATAAAGATATATTTTCCATTCACATTATTAATTCTTAGAATAAAGAAAATCATTGTTTTGAGGTGTTCTCTTGACTGGATGTACTGTCTTGAAATTATTTCTAAAAGATATGTATAACAAGTATTTAGAACAACCAACAACCGAATGAGGGCAATTTAAGTGTCGAACGTGCGATAAAATGTAAAAGTGTGATCGCTACTTTCCCACACAGTATGGCAACGGAAAACAACGCTACCTCAGGCTCCCCTGAACAGACTGACCTTGGTTTGAAAATTGAAAGTAGTCAATAAATCATAAATCAAGAAAACGACGTTGTATTTATTTCTTATCTTTCACACCTGTAATAGAGATCTCGTTCAAATGCTGCGTTAAATTAAATACTACAAGTTAATGAAATATGGGCTTTCTGATCATATGTACATTTTAACTGTTTCTGCATTTCAAGAGTAAAAAAATTAAATACCCTGTACCCATGCATTTGGATCGAAGAGTAAATGAATGAACTATTACCACTGTAGATAAAATCATAAAAAAATATGAATGAAAAATTCTTACAAGAAACTGCAATGGACACCTGGAATATTGCAAAAAAAATTTAAAAACCTGTACAGTATTTCAAGACCAGCCTGCGTTGCCGACGGAAATTTTAACCCTCGGTAGGAAGCGTCTATGACGGAGGCTAGTCAAGACTTATAGGAGATAGTTGTCTATTTTTCCTTTGGGATACCCTGTGAGGAAAGCCTTCATTTAACCTACCTTTTAGGCCAAGGTAATTTCAAAGAAATCAATCCAACATCCTCTGTGGAAAAAAAGATAGCGACTGGTACATTTACCGATGATTCTTCGCGCACAAAAGCCTTCACAACGCTCATCAAACTACAGAAAAGTTCAAACATCAAATCTAGTACACTTAATGGCATTAATTGGCTGTGTTAAGTTTACATGGTATTGTGTAAAAATGTACAGCCTCCATCCTTTTTTCCTACAGATGAATGAATAGCCAACAAGGTACTCCAAATTTGTTTTAATACTTGTACAAAATTAAATTGATCAGTATATTGATGCATATGGTTGATGCACACAGTTTCTTCAGAGCTCAAAACCAGTTTGGCTCACACAGATTCCTGGAAAATGGTGACAACAACTTTTGAAATTTCACAATTCAGCAATGTTCATTCCTTAATCCACAAGGGACTGAATGGGAAACTGGAGTCAGAAGATATTTAGACACCTCTGGCATTTATTTGTTCCTCCACACACAGGATTGAGTTAAGATTATGCAAATTAGGGAAAGAAACAAGGAGTTTGCCCCTCACTGCATGCTAGAAACTCACCGACATGCTAGAAACTTGTCACATGCTAGAAAACGAAAGAGACTGCTTGAAGTCTAATCGATCCCAAAACCTGACACTTTCTCCCAGCAATCAAATTTTGGGAAGAGAAACTGTACATGTGACAAAAGTTGTCCCATGAAATACTGAACTATCTACACCTACAAATTTGTTGCATAGCAGCTGACCAAGTCAACAACTATGTCTGTCATTGTATATTTTAAAAACTGAGAAAAAAAAAAAAAAACTCGAGTCAGACACTTGCGTCTATCACACCTTTGCTAATCACACACATATAATATGTACACTTTTACTATTTTACATATTGCTATAAATGTGATGGCGTCAGGTACCAAGCAAAGTCTATGAGAAGAAATCATCATCATCATCACTTTGTTTCCAGTTGTTGCTGTCTTGTTCTTCGCCTGGAGAGATATACGATCCATTTCCAGGGGTGTACTGAGCTAAACCCATTGACCTGAGGTGAGCATCATGCATCTTCTTTGCATGCCGTGTTCTTGCCGACATTTCTCTGGTTGCAATTTGCGGAGCTGCAAGTTAAACAACTACCATATTAATTTTTCACACCTGTAACAACAGGCTTCTGCTTCCAGGTCAATGTTTCACTTTATTTGGCACTTGCATGGTTACTTACTGGATTTACTTATTATTACAGTAAGTGATAAATTATTGGATTACTAATTCATATTAATAATTATTATTTATGGAATTTAAAATGAGTGATTATTCACCAGATTTGAAACATCTAACTTGTAAGCGGGTTGAAAGAATGATCAATGTCAACAACAGAGTTCTTTCAAATCTATTGATTTAAAATACAACATCCAGCCAAGATGGAACGGTCCTAAATCCTGACTCACACAATTTGTAAAACTCAAGGATACCAATAGCACCCATCCACTCACCCAGGTGTGGAATGTGCGGTGGCCTCATAGTTAGAGCACTCAACTCTGCATCAAGAGGCTTGGGTTCAAGCACTGGCTGGGGACAATGTGTTGTGTTCTTATTCTCACAGTGCCTTTGTCCACCCAGGTACAGTATAAATGGGTACTGGTAACTTTAATGCTGGGTGGTAACCCTGCGACGAACTAGCATCTCATCCAAGGGGGAGTAGACCTACTTCTAGCCCCTTCATGCTACAGGAACCGGAGATAAGCATCAGCCTGAGGGGCCACTTGGCTTGTATGCAGACTTTAATTTACCCAGGCAAGTCTCAATACTTTTGATAAAGCTTTAACAGACACAGCTTGGTCTGTAACCATCAGAGCTTATCTTGGTGTCATATATCATGAAGCAACTCAGTGGAAGTAGTCCCCACCTGCCCCTTCCCATAAATGGGATGTTTAAGTAATTGCATTTGACTCCACAGCATTTTGCTGGGTTTTTAACTGATCACCACAAGCCATTTAATATCCCTGGGTTGGGAGGCACCGTGAAAGTCATGCCCAAGAACCCAACACTATGACTCTACCCATGGTCAGAGCCAGACAGTTCAGTCCCACGCCTGTCGCACTATCCAGAACTGTAGGCCAATACATCTCCGCCTTTTTTGGCAGAGTAAAGATTGTTGCTTTTTCGGTGTAAAGAACCTTTCCCTGATGGCAAATTTTGTCACAATTAACTTTCTATATCCCTTAAAAACTGTATTTTAAAAGGTGCAAGCACAATTATAAGCCTTACAATGAACAACAGATTGCTATTTTAATAATACATTTCTTGCCATTAGTATTGAAAACGTACCCCCAGCCATCCTAAGTTTGCTGTTCAAGAGGTTTTTCCTCTGTACCATATCAAATTCATCTGTGGCTGAATTATCTGAGTTTCTACTAGTGTCTAGAAAGTCTTCAGGTTGACTTGCTGTTGATGAGCCATGAATGCCACCTGGACTGAACTTGGGTTTGTCTGAATATGAAAAATTTCCTCTTGCAATGCTCCATGATTTGCGATCTGAAGAAAAAAAACATTAATAACTTAAAATTATTATCATGATATTGAAGTATCAAAGAAAAAACCCATCAGCTGGTAAATCTCATGGATCATGTGTGCATTTACTATACAGACACAAGTGTTTTACTGGAAAATACACCACTCCCACAATTCATACGAAACTACATCTGAGACCCGAGTAGTGTGCTGTATCCATATCCTCACTAATAAGGATGATGATGCCATAGCCTGCGTAGCAAGCATTCCTGTGCAGAGAGCATTTCCACATTCTGGTCATGCGTAGATTGGAGCAAGAGCAAAAACTCAACGAAGCAGTTCCTCTCTCGCCTCACCACCCCCTGCTTTGTCAAGTTTTTGCTCTCGCTACAATCTATGCCTGGCCAGAATCCAGAGAAGCTCTCTGTATGGGAACGCTTGCTACGCAGGCTAATGGTGTCATTTCTCATTCACTTTTACCACTCAAAAATATAAATACATATCTCCGCATCGTCATGAATGGCCTCTATTAATATGCAAGATTTAAGATTTAATAATTTCTGGTATAGAATACACCCCTGTGTTTATATATGGAATACAATGCACCTGTTCTACAATTGAAGCCCACTATCTCAAGATAGTCAGCTGTATAATTTACTGTACTACAGCACTGGCCAAGTGTCAACAAGTTATTTGCTAATCTTCAATAGGGCTAACAAAGTCACTTAGAAACACACATGACTTGTGGGTACTGATGAAGATAGGGCCATATGGACTGTAATGGGGAATTGAGGATTTCAATCTGATTTAATCTCAATTTTATCCAAGCAAGTTGGTAATAAAAATTAATCCTAATAGTTCAAGTGAGGTTTTATTTTTGTTTGTTTGCCAAATTCTGGGTTAAAAAACCCTTAGGCGGAATAGAATCTAGGCCAATCAGGCTTAACGGCATATTCCCAAAGTATTATTTTTTATTACAAGTAAGTTTGATATCACTTTTTGATCTGTACCTGAGATCATTATCAGGAAAGAATGAAGAAATTAAGAAATTACGTTGTGTTCACCCAGAATGTGTAGTTCCAGAAAATATCCATACCCACCCCAAGGAAGGTTAACGGAAATTCCTAGGGGGAGGAGGGTTTCAAAAGCCCAATTTTTTAAAGGAAAGTATGGGACTAAAATGGAATTTCCAGAGGGGTGGGGGGGTTCGAGCTAAAAAAACCTTCCGTTGGAGGGCCAGGGGTATGGATATTTCTGCAATGACACAATGGCCTTACAACAGTTCCATTGGAGAAATGTTACCTGTAACCATGATTTTACAACACAACAAATTTACTGAAAGTGTTGTTTATTACTTGTTGATAAATATACATGCGCACTCTTGAAAGACAAAACACACTCCTACATATTTTCAATTTCCAATTTCAAGGTAATTTGTACTTAGAAATAATTTAATTTTCAAGGCAATAAGTGCTTTGGGAAAGGAAATTTTTAACCTTAGTGCTAATTAATATTTGGAAAAATACTATTCGCATATTTTATTTTTTCATATGAACAAGAGTATGTTTGGAAGAATGAGAAATACCATGAGAGCTTTCTAGAACTGTTTTCAGTTCTCCAAAGGCTCTTGAAAATTTCCTTAAAATGCAGAAACTAACAAATAGCCCAACATCATGGCATCATGGCCAAAAAGCTTTCAACAGAGTGGTTATTACATGGCTTCCAGCCAACACAATATTTGATATTGACAGAAAATAATTTAAAACCTGAAAATGATACCAAGAAATTTACTCCTTAGTGGAACTTTTTCACTCGACACTATAAAGAAACCAATGAGCTGCATGCAGAGAAGGTTGTGTCTGATAGCTGGAGGCTTGTGGATTTTGCAGTTGGCTTGTGAATTCTTCCTTCGTCGGGCAAGTGAAGGGCCTTGGGAAAATTTTGGAGTCAATTCAAAATACAGAATGGAATTTTGGGGGCTATTGAGAGTGACCTTTTATCACGTATCATAGTCACAGCCTGCCCAAGGGAAAATCCCAAAACTTGGTTTTCTTAGCACCCTGAATGAGATCCATGCACTGCTTATTAGTGCAACATGCCATGCCAAAGTAAAACTTCATGAGCTGAGTTTCTATCCAGAACTTACATACATGTATATATGTTCAGAGACACAGAAAAACTCACTCTTCAAATGATAAATGAAAATCCAAAATATTCCTATTTCCAATAAACCTGATAAAATATGGCAACACAAACTAACAACGCTCCGTTTACACAACACATAACAATACGTTTTCTCAAGAAAATTCCTCAGTTTCCAAAGCAAACAGAACCAAAAGACATGTAATAGCTTTCGCGTCATCGTACACAAAATTTGTCAAAATTCATTAAAACGTAACGGCGGTGAATTTACAAGGTTGTGTACAAGTAATTAGTGCAAAATCGACTTTCACACAGTCGGTGATGGTACTGTTTCTCACACAACCCAATAAAATACCGGCCGGAGATCTTGCAATTCGTTTCATGCTGGGTAGAAAACGAACAAATTAAACACCGCAAGAAACGAAAACAATATTCTCACCAGCACTTGAGCCGAGAAAATCGTCGTTATTTCCTTTGTTTAAGATCGAGCTGTCCACGTCTCCTGTCCCTGGAAGAAAAATTGAAAAGTTAAGTTATTAGGTATTGCACGAAACTGTTTGGTGCGTGGTAATAAACTCAAGCAGCCGCAACAATAGGTCAAATTGAGCTTAGGGAAAGAACAAAAAACTCATTGACACCAACCACTAAACCCTGAAATTATCATTTCTCAAGAGAAATGAAGAATTCAACTCGGCGATTACTTATGAGTTAATTAAGACAAAAATTCTTTGAAAAGTTGATAAGCTTGAAAGCATACTTACCGCTCAAACCTCCATGCCTGGAATAATATGAAGGCGTAGATTTGTTTGTATTTAGAACCGTTCCTTTCTTGCTTGCCTGTGTGACTTGAACGTTTTTGCGTATACTCCAAACATCGTCGAGTTCGCAACCTACGAAAATACCAATTAGACAAATGGCGAAATCAGTGAGAACTGATTCAAGGGATTTCAAGGGTTTAGCTTACAAACAAAACAGTATAGCTAACACACGAAAATCGTAACACAACTACTTAAGCTTATTACCTGGCGAACTGCGGGTATCCTTCGTTTTCAGAAGCGTATTTTTAGGCTGTAGAGAAAGCTCTATACCATTTTCATGATCGTTGTCGTTGGTACCCCAAGGATCAATCTTCTTGTTTTTTCCGGCGTACAGAAATTTACTTGGTCGACCACCTGGAATTGAAACCAGCACACATCGCAAATATTGAAAACTGTCTTTTTTCTGCTGTCCAACCGTTAAGCAAAAGCGATAACTCTCATACCGTCAAAGTTTTGTTCGCCTGACTGTCCAAATCCCCGTCCTGAGGAGGACATATCGTCTCATCATTCTGTCTTTAATGTTCGTAGTGAAGAAGGCATGAAGCGACAAAAAAATATACAATTCGTCGGTGGGATCCAGTCTCCTCGCTATACGAGCACAGGTACACAGGTAGACCACTCTACTCTCGCGTGTGACAGATAGATCAAGTTGGATCTCCGTTGGAAAAACTTCACCGTTATTTTTCCCATCCACATGATATGCAACCCATGGAGGGGGGATGATGCTATGATTCTCCAAAACAGAAGAACGAAAATACCGAAAAAGTAGAGGAGCCCCAGTAAAACGGAGCCAGAGCAGGTAGTGTATATAGTGACCAGGGTCACCACGTTGTTAGGCCACTGACGTGGTACAAAAAAAGGGAAACATAAAAAATAAAAAATAAAAACAGAAAAAAGTACAAGAAATCTCTTTGTTTTTTAACAGACTGATTTTTCTTACATGCATGCTCAAACTCTCCCCGCCGCACCCTCCCTAAGTTTGTCAAGGCCTCATACCAAAATATGAGTTTCTAGCCTACAAATATATACGGTCGTAGTGCCTTTTCTCTTATTGTATATTGTTTTATTTTTCAATACAGGGGCATGGAGAAAATTATTCGCCTTACATTCGCATCACCAGTTGTCGAAAGAAACATTTCCCCTCTAGGGTAGCCTGAGGAGCACAACTTTCCTTGACAACTCAAGGACGCCACCAACTTCAAAATGTGCGCGCTTTTGTAAACACTTTTGAAAACTGTTCAGCCTTTTGTCTCATCCCTAAAACTTGACTGTATCGAGCCAACAGCCAGCGATGTCGGTGGGAACACCGCGAAATGGACGGCCAACCTCGGGAAATATCAAGAAAACGAGAAAAACAGAGGCCTTCGCAACGGAGAACGAAATAGTCGGCGCTCGTGGTAATAGAAAACCACGAATTTCGCCCTCCGTAATAGAGCATGGATTTCATACCGATAAATACAAAACTCATTACAGTGCTTGGACACCAGTAGTAAACAGTGCTTCAAACAGTAAGGTAAGAGAGCCTTGCGAGACTTGTCTTGCGAGACTTCAATTGTAATTGAAATTTTACGGTTGTCCAGCTGATAGAGTGTTTAAACAATCAATTTGAGCTTTTGTGTTATGCCAATTTCACAGCCTGAATTTTTGAAAGCACTTGTAGCTACTTGTAGCTACCTGTGCTAATTTCAAGTTTGTATTGTACTTTGTTTCTTTCAGATCTTCGTGGAACGCTTAGATCTGATCGGACACTGGGTAAGGCAGATACAAAATATAAGGTTACAGAAGCATTAGATAAATTTGTAAACCAAATTTGCAGAGTCTAAACTTTAGATTATTCACTGGGAGTCGTGAACTAATTGTCTAATTGAAGATAATTAAAGTTTACTTATAAGCTTAAAACTCAAACTGCGGCTCGTTTTGATCTGTCGGTATTTATCAAACTCTAGTCAACGCGAAATGATGGTTGAATCAACTGCAAAATTAGAAGGTTTAATCGTCCACAAGTTTTACTACTTTTGAAGTGAGGTTTTTTTGCGGGTGAAGGGGGGGGGTGTTCTGGCAGAAACCCGAATTCAGGGAGTGGGGGGGGGGGAAAGGAAAAGGCAGTTGTAACCAGCATATAGCAAAGATATCAGTGACGTCACCAATTGTTATTAATATGCCAACCAGAGAACTATTGGCTGGTGAAACAAAAATTTTCTTTTGTTTAACGCTTTGAACATTTAAATAACAAAAACAATGTTTGTGAACAAATATCATCCCTATTGTTTATTTAAGAAGTTGTGTGAAGGTTTTAGACTCAAGTGATCAGTGTCTGATTTCTACTTAATTTGGTGAGGAGAATAGAGATTCTCATCGCCTAGGACAAATTCAGTTCACTCCAACCTCACTTAGGCCTCTTTTGCTCAACATGCATCTGAGTGAGTAAACTTCAGGAACTCGTACTATCGTACTATCCAAAAAGGATCAAAATTTGCACAGACAGAAACCTTTGCAGCTAGTGGTTTTATTGGAAGTTTCGTATTGAATAGTAATTAAATACTGGCAAGGCAGCCAGCATTTAAGCTCCTCTGATCCCTACAATAATCAGACAAGATTTGTCTATAACCATGAGACAATTAAAAAATAATTGTTTTTAATTTCATTTCCAGTTCTCTCTGTGGACAGATGCCCAACGAAAGAAATTCCTCGCCTTCATCCTAAAGAAATGCACGAAATCACAATTAAGATTTGTAAATGAAGGCTGGTTCAAAAAGCAACTTCCAATTCACCACTTAGATTATACAACTGTTTTGCCTCGATTTATATCCACTTGCATCTTTTCTTTCCTGGATCCAAGAAGCCTTTGTCGTGCTGCGCAAGTGTCTTGGCAATGGAAGTTTATAAGTGAGCAAGATGTGATCTGGATGCCGAAATGTTTACAATTTGGTTGGTATTTGCCATACACACCAAGTAGCAGAGAATATGGATGTTGGAAACATCACTACATCATGTGTGCTGGTTCACTTGATATGGAAGCTCCATCCAGAATGGTTGGTGGTTTTTCTTGTTCAATAAATGCATACATTTCCGTAATATAAAAACCTAAATCATATGCCAGAATCATTAAAAAGATGGCTTAGCTTAATCAGTGTAATTGTGTTTACTAATAACAATAATGTGTATTTACTTTAATTTAATTGTCAATAATCATATCTATGTACTTTGCTGAGACAGGTCAAGAGTTATTAAGGTCAATTAAATTTTCCCAAACCTTAGTGATTCTCAGGTGTTACACATGTAGCAGAGCTTTAAGAACATGGAAGGGGGTTGGGACTTCCTACTTTTCCAAAGAATTAAGGGATCGACATCCAGATCAGCACTGGATCGACACTCTGTCGACACCTCAATTGACACTCAGTCAACACTCCCTCGACATCTCGGTTGACATTCGATTAATTTTCTATTGATGCATAAGAGTCAGTTGACACTTGGCCAACTATGGACCGACTGTTGATCAAGTGTCAATTGAGTGTTGACTGAATATTGGTCGGGATGTCAATCGAGTATCGATCGAGATGTTGATCAAGGGTATCGATTGAGGGTATCGATCAATGCTTGACTGTGGATGCCTTTTAAATAGTTACACATGATGTGAATTAGGAGCTATTATCAAACATTTTATGTGCTAAAAAACTAACTACTTACTGAGAGTGAGGTCTTTACAGGAAAATCTCAAACCAAGACCTTGCTGTATTGTAGGCTATTAATGAATCCTTTATTGCATTCTAATTACCTGTCAACTAATAACAAATTTTGTGAATTTTATTTCTAAAGGCAGAGAAGTATGGTCAGTTTGCTGACAGCACTGCAAGAGTGTCCACGCAAAAAAGAGAGAAACAAAAAGGTGTTGAAAAGAGACAGTATAGAGAGACTAAATACTACAGACAAGGTATGGCAATTACTAATCATCTTGCAGCTACTGATCAATGGCCTCAGTTTAGGCCAAACCAAAAGAATGAATGTGTAGTGGACTCCAGATTGAGAGGTGCCAATTTGAGTGCTCTGACGACTAATGATCCAAACATCAGCTTCACTGACTCATTACAGCACTAAAATTTACCTTTTTTCCTCATACTCAGTACTAAGCAAGTGAATGTGGGCATGAATTATTGGTCTTAAGCTTTTCACTGAAAATCCACTGCAGGTGTTCGTAACAGTAATAATTAAATTAATATAATTTTTACAGTAACTGTAATATTACTGGTGATAATAATATTTATCTGTGTTGTATCACCAGATGTCATCCTTTCAGTTCACTTTCATCTCTTTGACTCTTATTCTCATCCTTTGTTTGAACCTTCACAGAAACACGTCGCCCACCTTGGTTGGACACAGATCCTCAGCCCCATGACCTGGAGAATGCCAGGAAGGCTTTATTTTATGAACATAATCCAAACCAGCCTCATTCCCCAGACCAACTGAGAGCTGAGAGACTGGGACTGAGTACCAGACCTCCACACAGAAGATCGCATACTGCTCCTGCACACATGCGTATGGAGAAAGTGGAGAAAGTAATAAGAAGAGATTTTTTTTTCCTAAGTTTTTAGTTGATGCTATTTCTATCATTTGTATTCCTTAGATTACTCACTTTGGAGGAAGTTTGGTTGCATCTTTGATATGCCTCAATGTGACTGCCAAATCATGCAGTTATGAGTTCATATGTGCCAAGTAATTATTTGGCTGTGTGACTATGCGATGCGGTTCCATTCAAACATCCACATTTCACCCTTGCTTGCCATAGAGTCTCCAGTAGCTTGGTGGTTAGAGCATCCAGCTACACCATAGAGGGTTTTGGGTTCAAGTCCCATCAGGAACTCAGATTTTTCTGAGTTTTCAGTTGATGCTATTTCTATCATTTATAGCAGAGCTCTGGCAGCCCAAAGGCCTGCCAAGCGGAGCACCATACTCATAAGAAAGAAAGGAAACCCATGAATTGATTTTCTCATGGTTATCATGGCTAGCGGTATTGCTTGTGGGCGTGTACCCGGCCCAAGAACTCAGTTTTTAGGCTTGGCTAAATCTATATTTATTTATTATATATATTATTACTTATGTAATAAGCCTTGCAACAATAAGCCATGCCTCCTTTCTCAAATGTCAGTTAGTAGCAGAACCTTCCAAGATTTTTTTGGTGGGTGTGGCATGAATATGAAAATTTTCCACTCCATCCAGCCTTTCTCGGTGGGAGTTTAAGGTCTTGGATTTGAAGGGCTTTGGTCTTATTTTTGGATTTTTACAAATTATCCTATAGGATGGGAAAATTCATGATGTCAATGGGAATGTAATTGAGGAAGGGAAAGAACCTGTACATCCATCAAAGCTGACCCTGACCGAGGCATTAGCTGTTGAATCTGGAGGTATGTTTTCAACGTTGTGCTTATCTTGAGTTGTTTGCCATCATGATTCATGATGTTAGTTTGACGCTAACACAGGAACATTCGATTCAGGTATGGTTACAGTAACTGACGGTGTTTTTTTTATTTGATTTTTACAGGTGATGAATCGGTGGTGGAGCAGTCGTGGGCCACACCTGCCCCAAAATCGCCAGTGCGACGGTAGGTGTATGGTACCCGAGCGCCCCTGGTGAACTGAATCATGCAATGTGATTTGTCGAACGAGAGCTTCAGTCTTTTGATCTAGACCGGTGAAATATTTATCCAGACTACTCGTATGCGATTTAGTAATTTCTTTCTGAGGAAGTGCTTACTACAGTGTTGTGCATGTAACACGTCGTTTTAAAGGAGTTCAGTCTCGTTATTTTGAGTTGTTTTGGCCACGTGCAAAGTTACCTTTAAATTGAAGGAAACCTGAAAATAAAAGTTTACTAAGATAGAAAAACACCAAAGAGATAATAATAAACCATAAAGGAACAAGGATTGTTAAGGATGGAGAAGATTAACACGGATTACAAACGAAAAACTTTTAAAAATTTGGCTAAACTTTTAAAGATGCGCAAACCGTGAAGAAGCTCCTTCAAGTCATTACACGTCCATTTGATTCCAATCGTGAATTCTTGTGACAGAGAAATGTTTAGAATTCACTTCTTGATTTAATTCTTCCAGACAAGATCTAACTTGTGGAATTCATCCCAGTGCGCACGATTCCGTGTTGGAAACAAGAAAAAAGGAGGTAATAAATATTAGTACGTGTTGTGTTTTGCCGATCGTCTGTTCTGCTTCTTTTTATTGTAAACAATTATTGTTATTTTAACCCGTGTATAAATCGAGTGAAAAATCTGAATCTGAATTCTCAATCTGACGCTAAATGTAAGGTGTACTTTAGTTTATTATTTCTATTGGAAGAGACAAAGTGACCCAGTCACTTCATTCTACAAGTGAGAACGCAAGCAAGTTCACCTTACGTCCGCTTTCGACTTCATTTTAAGAAGCTCAGTCACGGTATTCAGAGTTAGATTGAAGGAAACCTGAAAAAAAAAAAAAAAAGTTTACTAAGATAGAAAAACACTATTTAAAGAGATAATTTTAAACCACAAAGGAACAAGGATGGTTAAGGATTGAGAAGATAAACAACGATTGCAAACGACAAACTGGAACAATTTAAGCTAAACACTTCAAGATGTTCAAACTGTGACGTAGCTCCTTTAACCAGGAATCTATGCCAGTTATCTTGCTGTACAATTGCTGTTTTTCAGTCATGATAAATTTCATTTACTGTTACGTTTTTTAATTGTAGGACCTTCGAAGCCAACCTTGTCCAGCCGTTATATTTATCTCGTCTGAAATCCCTGCGGCTGAGGTGAGTCGGTTGATGTCCCTTGAGGTATTTGGGTTTGAAAATTGTTTTGTACTCCTTCATTAACAATAGTGCGTGTAACATTTTCTATGCCCTCTTGACATGTAATAGCCAAGCTTGTTAAAGTTCACCTATTATAAAATTGTTTTGTGTGTGACTGCCAGGTAATAAGTGGTATTTTTACTTCACTACCCGATGACAAGAGAAGACTGATACGTTTCTAAAATTAATACTGTACACTGCTTTCTAAAGACTACACCCGGCCAATTTTAGACCAAATGGAAACAAATTATGAGTCATTTTCGTTGGAAAACTCTTAACTCTTGCTCAAACTCTTAACTTAAATTGAGGTGGCGCATGCCTGTGTAGGCGGGAAACGTATATCTTCGACATGTAAAATGTTTGACTGGTTTTTAACCTCATTATTTTTTTTTCTAATCGTCTGACTTTCTTCGTTTCTGTCAGTTGTTATTAGAAGCTGTGATGTTTGGTGTCATTGCAATCCCTTACGAATATGAAGGCACAACACTGGACGCCCTGATGGAAAAACTTAGACTTGCTCTGCAGGGAAGACAAGCTAGGTAAGAACGGTCGGTCGATCTTCTGACTATAAACTGACGAGAGAAATCTGAAATAATCGCGCGTGCACTTGAGTTTCTTTTTTTCTTCAGACGAATTCAGACATTCAAGCGGCAAAATTCCTTACTGATGACGTAACTCTACGGAGATACCAATTATGTCTGACTCTGATTGGTCGTAACTTGCGCGCGAAAATTCAAACCAATCAGAGCACGACAGAGATCTCCGTAAGGCCATGTCATCAGTGTGGAATTTTTTGTGTAGAACTGGAAAGTAGTTGCACGAGTACTTCTGAAATAGCCCGAAATAGTCTCGCCAGCAATGACGCAACGAGGGTGCATCGTGTTTCATAACAACGTCGAGGACGAAAACCGCGGGCTCTGTCAATCGGTATATCTTCATGAACTGGAATATCATCTCCTCTTACCCCTCTCTCCGCAATTGCTTACAAGATATTAGTTGGGAGAGATTATGGTTAAAACTTCTATCCGCTTTGACTTTTTTTTTCTGCATTTAATTCTCACAGGAGCATTGGTGTGTTTGCTTGGGGAGATTCTGGTACTCTACGCCTTGTAAAAGGTCAGTAACCAAGATTTTCATGTAGCTGAATCAATGACGCCCACATTCCTTTCCTCGTGGCAGACAGCTCGCCATTGCGGACACCAAGCGGCTATGCTGTTTTCACCCTGGGTCAAAACGATGCCTCCCGTAAAACCTCTGAAACTGTCAAAGCTACATGAAGGAGTATATTTGGAATGTTCGGGTTCAATCAGAATTGGCACAAATTAATGATTAATTGCAAGGCACAAGAGTATCTGAACGGTTCCTGTCGGCGCGAAGCGACGAAGGTTGAACATGTGCTTTCAGTAAGATCGTCGACAGAACTTCCACGGAAGAAAAATGCCGAAATTGTTTAAAACAGTTTTAAAGTTATACGTAATCTGATTCTACCCCTTGAGTCGCGTCGAATTTTGTTTCCGACCACTAGAATGTCCCAGTTGAATCCGTATCACGAGAATGCCTTCTGTTTACAGGTCAGACTCTGTCATTAGAGACCGTTAACGAGCCTTCTATGCGACACTTCTGGGAAACTCTGACGATAAGTGTGACAGGGCGAGAATCAGGAGGTCACGTGGACATCTTTGTTCCTTTGGTAGAAACAGGTGAGGAGTGTAACAAGTTAAGGGCAGGGAAAGAAGGTCCCACAGTTATCTGCGTGCTAAGCTCTGGCCAAACATGCTCGCAAGTAGCCTCAATTTGAAAATTGGGTAGTAAAAACTTGCGTTGGGTAGCCAAACGGACTGGCAAGTTTCCTCACAAGAACACGAAAGTCATGAAAAATTTTCCTTCTACCCAGTTTAAGCGGTGTAAGTGTTATTAGTGTATTTAACGACTTTTTCCTCGCCTTTCTTCAGAACAAGGCATGGATCTTTTGGTACAGCTGGGTCTCTTGACAGACATGCAGTTTTCTTGTCCAACAGGAATGACGGGATCATTTGCTAGAGGTAAAACTTTCGATATCATGTCCGAATATACTTAGCTTACCTTCCATATAACATTGACTCTTTAGGATTATGTAACGACACACAGTCGGAATTGTTTTTGCATTTTTTGTTAAGAGAGATTTTAAATGCAAAATTAAGAGGCCCTGCGCCTAAGAAACGACCGATGATTTCCGGCTAAAAGATAAAATCGGCCGATTTTTATCTCCCAAGTAGAGGTTACCGAATACTATTTTAAAATGAATTTCTTTTGTTTCAGTTTCGCTTTAAACCAAAAATATCGAGCCGCAAACTTTTTCCGTCTGATAGCAGTAAAATCCGGCCGAAAATAAGCCCCCGCAAAAAACTGTTCAGAAATTACTCTCGCAACGCAAAATAATGAGAAAACTACACAGTGTTGAAGAAAAAGGCCTTTTA